CGCTCTCTGGAGCCTCATTTATAAGGGTGTTAATCCCATTCATGACCTGAGCACCTCCCAAAGGTCCCCCCCTCCTAATACCATCAGTCAGATTGGGAGTGTGGCACGTCAGCCATGCCACCTCCCACCCCTCACTCTGTCGGGAACGTTATGCCTTCAGCTTTTCTATGGGTCAATATAAGAAATAACTGTGTGTGAAGTAGCTGCGTTTTCTGTGTCCCTGTATTTGCATAGATCCGTGCAGCAAACTCTTAGACCCAGGAGAAGTTTTCCTCCTCTAGAGACTCAGCATGCTTATTGTTGTTAGTGAGAACTTGTACACCGCGTTGTACTTCCCACCTGGCTGCCAGGAGTCTTAGTACTAACGTTTGAGCTTAAACCAGCAAAGTTTTCTTTAGTGAAATATTTTCCTATAAACCCTTCTTTCCATTTCCCAAACCCATTTAGAAATTTTTCCTTGCTCTTTTTATTGTTGCTTAAATGGGTTAGGGTTTTACTACAGTAGCACAAGCCCTTCACTCCATTTTGGAAGTAGGCCAAACATAAATTGCTGTGGAAACGGAAGGTCGAACACCATTTTACTTGTTAGCATTTCAAACTATAGAATCAGGATGTTTCCAAGTTGCTGGGGACAAATGCCAGCTTTTGGTTATTTGGGCCGTTACTGCCATTTTCCCCCCAGAGCCATCAAACACCCAAGCATTTGAAATGAGTTTGGGATTCTCTGTCTTGTATCAAGATGCTGGCTAATGACTGACCAAGCAGGATTGGGGGCTCCTCTGCTTTTTGATTGCTGGGGAGTTGGCCTTCTACTCTGGCCCAAGTGCTGATGCTCTAGAGGCATAAATTGGTAAAACAGGAAGGGACCAGGTAGTATTTTATTTGATAGCCTCAAATGGGTTAAGGGATCTTTTTAAAGTCACACACCTAGCCATGGCAGAACTCAGATGAGAACCTTGGTCTTTTAACTCTAATTTCAGGGTTCATATGTATTGGTGTAAGGATTCTTAGACCTTTGAACTGCTTGTTAGGCTTGCATTTTGCAGAGAGCATTGGGTAAGAGACCTTAACCATTACCTGGCTGTATGACCTCGGGTAAATCAGTTTCATGGAAACGACTCAATAGTTACCCATTGGTAAATGGAAATAGTGTATTCCTTACTTGCTTCACAAGGTTACCTTCTCCCATCCCAGGTACAAACCATTTCCATGTATTTCCACCTTTTTTCTCTTTTCCCATTTCAAAGGAAGATGAAGACGTGACTCCTTTGGGCCCAGGCCCCTTTCCTCTCAGCTCTCAGGAAACTTGCTCACCTCTCCGCTATCTCCATATGCCTGATTTCTTTCTGTAACAGCAATTCCCTTTGTTCTCCCTGGGGTCCTTGTGAAGTTCCTTCTTCATGAACCACCTTTTCTTTTCCTTGTTCATCTGCTAGTCCTCTTTCAAGTTTGGCTTTCTCTGATTTTCTCGCCCTGACTGACAGCCCATGGTACCTCACTTTGTTTCTCCTTAGCGCCCTCTTGTGCTCTGGACAGTGCCATCTTCTGGAGGGTAGAGACGGCTTTACTCGTTGTTATATTTGCATCTGGAATAAAGTGGATCCTTTTTTTTTCCAGTTTCATTGAAACATAATTGAGATCATGTTTAAATGAATAAATGAATGACTTCTGAGAAGATATCCGAATCCCTCTCAAAACTATACTGTATATGTATGTGTATGTTTATTTTTCTGTTCATGTGCTCATATATATGCATGTATATAAGTTAAGACTTCCTCTCAGCCTGGCGCTAAGTGTTGATGTTTGGGAAGGACATCCAAGTTCCCTCTCCTGTCCTCTGCAGGTAAGTATAAGGCTGATTCTGGTCCTGTCAAGCTTTCTGGGGGAGTGACAATCAGCAGCAGCATACGGATTAAACCTCTGGGTGCAGAGAGTAGTTTTGGTAGATGGAAATGGGGTAATAATAAAATGGGGGGAGACAGTGCTGTAAGAAATGGGAATGACTGAGTTAATAGAGACTCGCTATAGGAGCGAGAGCACCCTGAGTTTGAGTGCATTCCATCAACTTTTCTTCATGGACTGCATTTCTGATTTGGAGCATATTCTAGAACTCTCCTCTGACATGCTAATTAACTGGCTATATAATTATTCTCTACTATCCTTTTCTCTTTGGAGATTGGAGATGGGGGAGCTGCCCTGAAAAACAATCTGGGCCCAGCAAAGGGACTATGTACCCCATGGTCTGAACTTCTCAATATTCAAAATAGTTTAGACTCTAGTTTTTAGAGCAGTGCTTCTCAAATTTAGATGTGCACACACATCACCTGAAGATCTCGTTAAAAGGCGGATTCTGATTTAGTAGGTCCTGGGGCAAAGCCCAAGCTTCTGTATCTCTCACAGACTCTTAGGTGAAGCCAGTAGTGCTGGGCCACAGACCACACGCTGCAAATGCATGGCAAGTGTTTAGAAGTTACCTCTGCTGTTTCTGTTGGGTGGATTCATGGTTACTTTGATAGAAGGCCTGAAGCCAAGGCCTCGGTGTGGAGAAAGAGCACCCTGTGAGAAACCCTGTCCCGTATCCTCAATACTTCATCCCATTTTGGGGGTCCCAGAGACTGCATGATAGCAATAGAGTAACTGATATCCATGAAGATGTCTTGGAATTGCATTTGGTGAACTATCTAGAAGGCAAGCTGGAAAGTATTCATTAAAGTTTAGCCATGTTTCCATGAATTATTAAAACCAGCTAGGCTTACATGGGTAAGTCCAATAATCTGAAAAAATCACTTATGAGGAAATCTTCATTGCTGGACGAGAAACACTTCACTGTAGCACTTTGCTGACAGGCTTTGTGAATTGTCGCCTGCCACTCGGTACCTTTGTCTAGACCAGCAGTAGCATCTATCTGTGTTGCTCT